CTCCCAGTCTTGATTTGGTTTTTGAAACAGGTCTTCACTAAGTTGTCGAGGCCAGGCTCAAGCTCCTGATCCTTCAACCTTAGCTTCTCAGAGTGCTGGGATTACAAGCATGCACCACTGCCATGCCTCGCTAAATCTTTCTTTCTTTAAATTCCTTTTGGAAAACAGCCAAAGCCATGACTGCTCAATATACCATATGCTTCTTATCAAATAATGGTAGCAGTGCTGAATGAAGCTGGATCCAATGTGCTCCTATTCTGGAGATTCACTTGGCCTCTCTGGGATCTGAGGGGCTGGAACAATCTAATGTGGGGGGGGGGACCAGGGGCTAGGGAGATGGCTCAGTGGAATAAGCTCTTCCCTGGCAAGCGCAAGGGCATGAGTTCAATCCCCAGTTCTGCCAATAAATAAATAAAAATATTTTTTTAAGAGGGTCTTGCATGTACCTAAGCCTGGACTTGGACTCACGATCCTCTGGTCTCAACCTCCTGAGAGACGGAAGATTACAAGTGTTCACCATGCCCAGTTGTTTTCCAAAAGGAATTTAAAGAAGGAAAGATTTAGCCAGGCATGGTAGTGGCACATGCTTGTTTTTTTATTTATTTATGTGTGTGAGTGTGTGTGTGGCCAGCTCAGCCCACCAGGGGGCGGGGCTGACTGGCATGTGGTGCTGGGGGATTGAACCATGGTCCCTGGGCTTTGCTAAGCTTGTGCTAAGTAGGTGCTTTAGACCACTGAGCCATCTCACCAACCCCATGGCACATGCTTGTAATCCCAACATTCTGAGGAGCTAAGATTGAAGGATCAGGAGCTTGAGCCCCGCCTGGACAACTTAGTGAAGACCTGTTTCAAAAACCAAACCAAGACTGGAGGTTTAGCTTACTGGGGTAGGGCCTGCCTGGCAAGCATGAGGTCCTCAGTTCAATTTCTGGTACCCAAAAAGAACAACAACAACAACAACAAACCAAAATCCCAAACCAAACCAAAAGAAAAAAATCCCACAAAACTAGGAATATAGCTCACTGTGAAGACCCTAATTTTGCTCCTTAGTACAAAAAAACCCAAAGAAAACAATTTTTAAAAAGCACTACAAACTTTTGAAAATAAGCTAACTAGACTGCTGTTAGTGAATTCCACTCATCCTTTCGGCTGTAACATTTAGGTTCCTTTACAGATCAGGGAGGTATTTTTAAAGTTAACAATAGCTAGTATTTACTAAGCACTTAGTCCTGATGACTTCCGGGAGGAGTGTGTACTTTTAGGGAGTGTGTCAGAAGGTGGAGGATGGAGCCTGTTTTCATTCACTAGGCAAAATGTTAAGTATCCAAATTCTAGCTAAGCACCTGTTGCACAGTCCACTCTAAATGGGAGAAAGACAAGAGCTGAATATAGAAACATAGCAAGACCCAGTCTGAACAATAAAATAAAGCTAACTTTTTTTTTTTTTTCAGCACTGGGGATTGAACTCAGGCACTTGAACTTGCCAGGCAAGCGCTGAGCCATCTCCTTAGCCCGTTTGGAGGTTTTTATGAGCTCAGAATATCAGATGACTGTCACAAGTGAGCCAGAAGGAAAAGAAGTGATGATCAACGGCCAGGATGTTTGAACTAGAGATTGTAGAGGTAGTGGTGGTGAGTTGGAAGAGCAGATGTAGAGAAAGTATGGGGAAGACGAAGTGGTGGGAAACTAAAATGGGACAGGAGGAAGGAGTGTTGGAGCTGACAAGGTGCTGGGCAGCTCATACATGTGAACACTGATGTTTAGTTTTTGTTTTTTGCTTTTCACCCCGTGGGGTATTGAACTCAGGACCGTGCCCTTACCAGGGAGGCACTAATGCTGCTGAGCTATCTGCCCAGCCCTGTGAAGACTGATGAACAGAGGTAGTGGTGCAAAGGAAGACAATAAAATAATACCGAGAGGATAGAAATTACCCTATCAGAAAAGGTAATTGAGAGATATAGTATGTGTTTAAATTAAAAAAAAAAAACTTAGGGGCTGGGGAGATGGCTCAGTGGAATAAACACTTCCCTGGCAAGCACAAGGGCCTGAGTTCAATCCTTAGTTCCACCAAAAAAAATAATAATAATAATAATAATAAAAACTTTCATCAAACTCAATGTGGTTCCAGGATTTAAAACCCCTTCCTGCTTCCTGGGCCGCCGCCTTTCGGTCCTCTTCTGCGTGAGAGCAGACTGGGGGGCCCTGAGCTCAGTAATAAATGGCTTTCCAAATTCCAAAAAAAAAAAAAAACTTTCAGTAAAAGACATATTATCCAAGAATGATGATTGGTAAGTGTGCTCTTTCTTTTTATTTATTAATTTTTTTTTCCAGTACTGAGGATTGAACTCAGTATCCTGAGCTTGGAAGGCAAGTGCTTATTCTACTGAGCCATCTCCCCATGATTGGTAAGTGTGTGTGAAAGACAGGGATTATTTTCAGCACAAATTTTGGTCAGGATTAATGGCAGTATGTCTTTTACTATGCTTTTTTTTTTTTTTAAATTTAACAGAGTCTCAATGTGTAGCTCAGGCTGGTCTTGATTTCATGGTGCTCCTCCTTCCTCAGCCTCCCATATGCTAGAATTAAGCTGTACATCATCACACCTGACTGTGATATTTTTTTGGGGGGTGTATGGGAAATGGAACTCAGGATCTCATACTTGCCAGGCAGGCACTGCGCCACTGAGCTATGTCCCGGCCTGTAAATTCTTAAAACATTCACCATATTTGTGATTACATCTCACTGATCCAACAGTGTGAAAAATGTTAGTGTGTCTTCATCTACCTTATTCACTGCACCTAGTGCCATTCCATTTCTTGCTCTTCTCCAAAGTCAAATGACTGTGAAATAAAACATTTAGACTAGAGTCAGGACACTGAGACAGCTACAACCAAGGAAACACAAAAGAAGGCTTCCAGAACTGTTTCAGGAAGTGGCAAGAACAATGGCATAACTGTTTTGGGGGAGTTATTTGAGGGGTACTAAAATATTGACGGTATTTTTTTTACCACTCCTCAAGGGTGACACTAACTAGAAGAGGTACTAATGGATACTATAAATGGATTTCAAGGAAGCTAGAGAGGGGCTGAAAATGTAGCTCAGTGGTAGAGGACTGGCCTAGTGTATGTGAGGACAAAGGGAAAAAATATCTATCTGTATAGTAACAAGATCTCAAACTTGCCAAGTAGCCAGTTTGGCCTTGAAATTGGGATCTTCGGGCGGGGAGATGGCTCAGTAGGATAAGCGCTCGACCGGCAAACTCAAGTATCTGAGTTCAATCCCTGGTTCCGAA